TTTACACCTCCCACCATCCGAAGACCCCCTAGCGACCTAAGCCGGACCCATTTGACGGGGAAAGCTACCCCTTTGAGCGATGTTGACCAAATGAGTTTTCTACCTGGTTGTGCTAGGTTAGCCCATAGGAACATGAAAAATAAACTTCAAGCCCAAGTTATCACAAGATTCCCTCCAGGTTGACCCGACGTGGCAGTTTCCACCTCTAAGTGCAGGCAGTAGTGTCGTCTGTGAAGCAGGTCACACTCGGGAGCTGGGTATTGGGTGTTTACACCTCCCACAATCCCATTAACTTTCTAATGAAATAGATATAAAATTTGTTTCATTTGGCCAAAGAATGAAAAATATACAAAAATGTCAAAAACAAGAGGGTGTTTTCTACAAATTTGGAGCAAACATGACTTTAATTTGTTCAAATTTTAGAAATATAGTATACCAACAGAATCCTTTCAAGATTCTGATCCAGAAACATATAAAATTTGTCAAAATCAATGCAATAATGCTTGTGATTTTTTTGCGAGGATAACTCCCGATCTATTTATCAACTTTGAAGGTAGTACAAAGAACACCAGAAGTAAAAAAAAAATCTAGGTCTGTAGACCACCTAGCGGCGACTACTAGCACTGGAGTGAGCCGGAGGCGCACCGCTGTCTTCGCCCCTCCCTCATCGGATCCGGACAAACCTTATTGTAATAGACAGTCGAGAAGTCGTCGTGCTAAGGCCCCATAGGACCAAAGCACCAGAACAACCACCGCAGATGAAGATAAGCGTAGATTGGAAGGATCTGGCCTATAGACACACGAACACAGACGAAAGAAGACAGGATCCACGTAGATCCACCGAAGACACACGCCGACTGGATCCCACGAGATCCACCAAGGATGCTAGAAACACCACCAGGATGGGGACTAGGCAGGGAGAATCGTATGCCATCTTCAGAGAGTCGTCGCCGCCTCGCCTCTCTGAGTAGGACACAAACCCCAAGAAAACTCAAAAGAGCATGAACAAACGGAATCCTCCCGCCAGCAAGGGTCGGGATCCACCACGCCTCCATGGCCATAAGACCACAGGAGAAGAGGTAGACCGGCGGCTGCATCGACGAAAGGCACGAGCCCTAGCCAAAGGGCCCTCTTTCTTCCACAGGAAGAAAGAAAATAAGGACCTATATGCAGAAGTACATGAGATCGCATTTTTAACATGCTAAAAAACAGAAACAAAGTAGATATTCATAATCTATGTAAAATTCTCCCAAAATTGATATATATAATTTGTATGTTTTTAAGTTGAGATAAGTCAGATTTAAATTTAAAACAAAAGCAAATTTAAAATTTTAAAATAATAGAGAAAAACTATTTGCCGACGGCCGCCGTCAGGGCCGTCGGCATAGACCTAACGTTGTCAACCTTCCGTCAACCAACGTGGCGTATCTATGCCGACGGCCACCGCTAGCATACATGGGGTTTTGCCGACGGCTGCCATCAGCGTATATGGGGGCTTTGCCGACAGCTAGGTTTGCCAACAGCCGAAGGTTGCCGATGAGTTTTTCCAGACCATCGGTGTATATACAGGTATATCAACGGCCCCGATAAAAAGCCGTCAGCAACTTTTATGTTTACTGTAGTGAACACTTTTGCATGTGGGTTAGTTCAGATCACATAAGTTGAACCATGAATCTGTTATTGTTGCAGAAACATCTGTATTGGAAACTGCTAATTGGGTCGGAGAAAAAGACAATTTTGCTAATTATTGCGCACTCCCAGCATTCTTTATACAATCCTCGAGAGAGAAAATACTACTCCATAAAGTGCCCGCTTGAAAAAGTAAATTAAAACTCTACAAAATAAATCACGTAATTAGATCATCAGTTTCGCGTTGAAAAAACAGGTCAGTGGCTAGTATCAAACCAACCAGTAATCACCAGGTTTAATTTTTGTCTTTTGAATTTGAAAATTTCCAATAGTTTGCTCCCATAACTATTTAAGTAGTACAGCGAATTTACTTGTTTGGAACAGGTGACCGGTCAGAGAAGTTTACTTGGAGATCCACTTCGTAACTCTTGTTCACATAATGGAGCTCGTTGAAGAGAAGATTAGAGAATTCATCAAAAGCAACGAAAGGGCGAAGTGGAGACCAGTGAACAATCATAATATAAATAACTTCACAGAAGATGAGATTAAAATGATTACCAAGAACTACAGAAACCCCATAGGCAAAGGTGCCTTTGGAGAAGTTTACCGAGGCGTTCTTGATGATGGTAGTACAGTTGCAGTCAAGAAATATATCTGCCAGAATTTGAAAGACGGGTTTGCTAAGGAGATAACTGTTCATTGCCAAATCAACCACAAGAATGTTGTTAGGCTTTTGGGCTACTGTTTAGAAGAAAATGCTTTAATGATGGTCACTGAGTATATCCCTGGAGGAAACCTCAAAGATCTTCTCCATGGCAGCGATGATCACATTTCTTTAGATGCAAGGTTGGGTATTGCTATAGAATGTGCTGAGGCATTAGCATGCATGCATTCATTGTCTCAACCAATCATTCATGGTGATATCAAACCTGATAACATACTTCTAGATGAGAACTGGGGTGCAAAATTATCTGACTTTGGAATATCAAGATTGCTTTGCATGGACGGAACTGATTACACCATGCACGTAGCAGGAAGCAGAGGTTACATGGATCCAGAGCTCTTTGAAACTGGACGCGTCGATCCTAGAAATGATGTTTACAGTTTCGGGGTTGTTATGGTAGAACTTGTTACCAGAGCAAAGGTAAATGAGAATGGCATGAGTACCGGAGTCACGAGAAACTTCACTCAAGCTATTGAAAAGGGGAAAACAGCAAGAACGATGTTTGATACTAAAATAGCAAGCGTGAGCAACATGAAAGTTCTGTACAAGATAGGGAAGCTTGCAGCTGAATGTCTCAGAAGGGATATAAAAAATCGCCCTGAAATGAAGGATGTTACAGAACGTCTCCGGGCTCTTAGAAAAGCTTACTGCCAGCAAGATCAAGAAAAAACAGGTCAGTGGTCAATGAAAAATGTGAACCGAAAAGGACAAAGCATTTCCGGTTCTAAGTCTACTATGCTGTACAAGCTGAACAATTTGGGCATGTTTAGTATTTGGAACGCACGCAGGAATTTCATGAGGAATGCAGGTCCGACAGTAGACCAAATACAAAACCTGAGGGTTTTCACAAAAGAAGAAATAAGAAAAATCACCAATGGTTATTCATCAGATGTAATTGCCAAGTGCTCATCTTGTGAGGTCTACAGAGGGACTCTTGAGGACAACAAATTGGTGGGCGTGAATATAGAGACTGTGATGGTAGATGAAGCCCATAGTGAACACTTTATAAATAGCATGCTCATCTATTCTACCATTCTCCATAATAACATGGTCAAACTATTGGGTTGTTACCTGGAGGCGGATGTCCCAATATTGGTGCATGAGTTCGCTGCAAATGGGAATCTCCAGGACATCCTTCGTGGCAACTACAGCTTCCCGCTTGGTATACGTCTAGACATCGCAGTTGGATGCGCGGAAGCGTTAGCATATCTGCATTCAAAATCCTTTGCATTTGTGGGTGCTAACATCACACCCGCCAACATACTGCTAGATGACAGTTTGGTACCAAAGGTCTCGGGGCTTCTCTTCATATGTCACGGCATCACTAGTACATCAAGCGATGTTTACTGCTTTGGAACTCTCCTCTTGGAACTTATAACCAGGAAACAAGGAGGGTATCGCAACAACAGCCCGCAGGAACTTAGGAAAGCTTACATGAAAGAAGGGCACACCATGTTTGACAAGGAGATAGCGGCGAAGGCAAACATGTTCATACTTGAAAGGATCCAGATGGTTGCAATGGACTGTTTGAAACTGGATGAATTAGCGCGACCGAAAATGGCAGAGGTGGCAGAGCGGCTTCTGAGGCTTAAAAATGTCGAAAGCAAGGGAAGCGAACTGCAGGAGCTCTCGATGTTGAGGAGGTTGGTGGCTTCCAGTATCAGCAAAGCTAGAGAAAACACTACCCCGGCCACCTGAGCAGAAACGTCGAATTTGTGATCATTCATTTTTGTAATTTACTACTCCACGCTCTTGTACGTGTATCACGCCATAGTGTGTATTGTACTATCAATTTGGCATTGCTGCTTAGGCCGGCATTGAGAGCTTCCCTTCCAGCAATAATCCCCCGCCAAGTAGCCGAGGCTGGGCTTGGAGCCATCGCTTGCATAAAATCAACCTCTGGAAAAATAACACCCATTCAGTACTCTTGCAGACAAGGAATTTGGATTTGTCAAGAAATGCCAAACATGTTTTCCAAGTAAAGCAAGGTTAAACAGATGCAAGACTCCCAATCCCATGCCACATTTGCATTTCGGAGTTGCTGGGTTGCTCCAGGACAACCAGTGCACTGATTTCTTGTCAAGTGAGCTGCTCCAAAAATATTTCGCCATGGGAGAAGTTATAACTCTTACAAACTTTTTTTGTTAACAGGAACGTACTCATAAGGTACGTCAGAATTGGCTGAATGACCGATTTCAGAAGAATTTATCTGGGCAGCACACGTTAGCAGTATCACGGGTGTGGTCGAACGTGCCACTAGTAACGACCCACTGTGGTAAGGAAAGCTCAAGTATCTCTCGTTGAAGGCCTCCGGGAATACTGACTTCCCCAATCCCAGTGTCACGCACTCTCGTCCATACACAGCAACTCGCACACCTCAACAGCTCCAGCACCGCCACATCACATTTACATACAGCATTATTCATACCAGCCTAGACGTCACATATGCTCACAAGGTCGCTTGTACAGGACAGTCTCCTCCTCGAGCTCAGCCTGGGCCCCGCTCACCAGCACCCAGACCTCAGAGATCTTCTCGACGGTGCCGTCGAAGAGGTCGACAGTGGTGAACGCCCGTGACATGGGCCCCACGGATGCCGATTCTTGGAGCTCATCTCTTTCGCTGGTGGAGATCGTGGAGGGGTTCATTGCTTCTGCAGGCTTCACCCTAGGCACGACCGCTCCGTTCAGATATATGGTCTGGTTGTTGGCTCCGAAGGCGATCATCTTCCTGAGGCCTCCCCCGTAGGCTAAGCTCTTGTGCATGTGCCCGAACACGACCAGCGGGATCGAAACCCCAGTTTCTCTTTGCAGGTCAGATATCGCCTGTTCCAGATCTACAGAAGTTTCCATATGAAGCAACTGTTTCAGAAAAGGTAACTAGAGGGGAAGTATCGTCATGAATACCAGACCTGGATCGCCATGATCGCCACCGCCAGCTACCCAATCCCGCCCGCAGATATCATCAATTCTTGAACCTAGACCTGCGTAGGCATGATAAAAGGTAAGCTTGTTAGGACATGAGATGTCTATACAACTAGATTATTCGAATGTTCAGAGACCTGTTGGTCCATTATGTGCAAGTAGTATGACAGAATGCTCCTCTGGTGCAGCTGTAGCAGCATCGTATATCTTCCTCGCACTTCCTGCCATATCATCGACACCATACCTACACGAATGGTCGCAGCCAACCAAAGAGCGATGAATTATAAGTTACAGTTATGACTTATGAACAACAACAGAAGTTCTTCACAGAAGGGAGAGGACAAAAGCAAGAATGGCCTGTGATGCACTTCCCTTGTAAGGCAGACTAAGAAGTTGTAGGAATGGCCAAATGGCAGTGAACTACCACATCTCGTAGGTGTATCAGAGTGTCAACAAAATGGGCAAACAGCAAAGAGGTGAAAATAGTTCCAGTGAAACTTTTGGAGGCTGGGCTGTATTAATCCTAGCGCTCAGTGAATGCAGAGTTGCAGACTAATAAGCTAGTTCCATAACCAAAACCAGTTAAGGAACCAATTACTCTACATATCTGGTCTGGTATCCTCGTCTTCTTAAGATTATTTAAGATTATAACATACAGCATATTACCCTTAGGCCTTAGATCCTTGTAGGCACCTCACGCACTGATATTTTTACTGCCTAGCACAAGTAGTCAAGCACAGGATAACAAACTAGCCTTGTGATACAATTAGGAATCTCCCTAATCGAGAACATACTATGAAACCTTTAAGCTTGGACATCGGGACTTATTTTTCCTAACCATGCAGGAGGGTGACATCTGGATGTTTATCTACTGGCAAATACAGCAATAACTTATGGATAAATAATTCATTAATACTTGACATGAGAAGGAAATAAATATGATATCTGCCACTCTGGTCATTGTATTACCAAACCATTACTAACCAAATTAACATGACAGCTTTGAAAACATAATTCAGAAATAGCAGAAGTGAAGGACAAGATTATAGAAACAAATTCATGACAAAGATATACCTAACAGAACAGTTGAGGAACCTAGGTATCTATTGGTTAGTATATCTCTTACCAACCGTTGTGACAGAAGCTTTGGTCTAAATAACCTGTCACCCCCACAAGAAAATGGTCGCCCACCAACAACACTCAGCTTTATTGTTGGAAAATCCAAACATTGATATCCAACATGCTGCTCACCAAGGCTGATATTCACAAGAAAAAAAGGTATCATTGGCCGCATTCCTGCACAAAGGGTATCATAGTCTGCTGAATGCTGCTAATAATCCAGACTCATCCTGCACTTCTAGCACTGCGAACTACTAAAGCCAAATTAGACTGAGAATTAGTTAATCTTTTTTTCGTCAGCGGTCCCTAACCACAGTTTACTCGATTCAGTCACTCTTAAATTTAAGAATTGTTCCAACTTAGTTCTTTGCTTTTAAATAAAAAGAGAAACGCCTAACAAAATGTCCTAGCAGTAAAGCTAGAAACCTTATGGTGGTTACAGTGTCATGGCACAACTGAAGAGCAATAGTGCAAGCCTGCAAGACTAATTAATTGGCAATTCCTCCAACAAAATCTCCACAAATGCAGCTCGTAGCATATTAAAGGATCTTACCTTGCAAGCTGAAGCCGGACACGATCTACCTTCCTGAGTAACAATCAAGTGCACAAGGATTTCAGAATAGCTAAGTGCAGTTATTATAGTTTCAACTTACTAAATGAAAATATGACTCATACTTCTCTGAAAATTGATGTGTACGCCAGCAATCATGATTACCAAGAATTGCCGCCTTTGGAAACTGAAGATCCGAAATGCTTTTGACAAGTTGAACATTCTCGTTGCCATAATCACCTGCCACAAATAGAGGAGAACAAACAGGAGATGACAAACAATAAGTACATTGCACGCACTTCACCAACGAAAATGAAATTAGCAAATCATGTAATGCAGAAATAGCAAGGAAGGATACCTGTAAAAAGCACCAGATCTGGCTGCATTTCAAATATAACAAGTTAGAGCTTCTGACAACAAAAAAATCTGGATAGAGAATTATTTGTGGTATGAATTTTTCTTTCAAAGTGCAATGCCTATATTGTAAATGAAACACATGTAACATGATTAAGAATGGGTGGCAAGCATATGGAGGCCAGCACATTACAAACGGACAGGACATGTGTAGTGTAGTACATTGTAGAACAAGGGAGAAGTTACAACAATGAAATATGAACATGATGAGATATCCAAATACAACAGACTGGATCCATATAAATGTGCAATACCTGAAGAAAATGGAGTGCCTTTGTATCTTCATCAAGGATCCAATCATCATGCTGCAATGTCCAGTGCATAACATCCAATTAATACCCTGTTCTCGTTACGTGGATTTCAGGGGATACATGATAACAATATATCTATTTTCTATACTTTGATGGTTTAATATAGCCAAACTTAAGAAGGTCAAAGTTAACAATTGCTCCCCTTTCAGAGAAATAAGAGCCAGCAACCCCATCCCACCACAGCCCAACGGTGATTTCACATCGTGGTTCAAAAGAACAGATGATCACGCTGGTGCCGACAAGCTCGAAGGATACCTGGTGCCGAGTCAATCTTGTGAGGGCTGGTGCGAAGGCACTCAGATGCCTACTGCTGCACGCTCGGCCGCAGCATGTTTGAGTTCGGTTGATCTGCCTTTTCCTCCATTTTTGCATGTTTCTTCTGGTAGACTAGTTTGGTTTTCTTTTTGTTTGAGTTTGGTTGATCTGTACTCTTGTGCAATCCTGGCAACTTCTTATAACACAGAGCAACACACATTTGGGTGCTTGTTGGAGAGAAAAAAGGTATCCAAAAGATGCTACTTGAAGGGTATATTTGAAGGCAGGAAATGCATTTCCCCACAATATATACTTACTCGGTCTGCCCCCTCTCCATGAG